AAGCTTAGATATAGGTCATATGCTGCTACCTTAAACATGATATAATGGAAATGAGTATATTTTTACCATCAAGTTGTATATTTAAGCTGATAAAATATATTTTCAAACTCTTCACTCAAAGTATACCATAGTCATATGCTGATTTAACCTTCTTTGATTACCGATATGTTGAAAGTTATAACTGCACAATATGGACTTTCTCACTGATATCACATGTATATATTAAACTTCCTAGCATGCATAATGTTATACTTGAATGTTTAGTAATACGGTACTTTCATTTCAATAAGTTTTTATTTTTAATATGTGAATTCCCACTGTTCTAATGAGCTACATTATTTGTTTCTAGGCGTATTCGTGATCGTCTAATTGAAAATGAACGGTTACAATTGGCAATGGAAATGAGTACTAAGTGTGGATTAGACATTGTAGCCGTGTGGTTAGCTTGGGGTATGGCACATCTGAAAGCTGGAGAGTATCATCAGGCTAGAGACAAGTTTAGCAGATGTTTGAAAGTATGTAATACATGTAGCATATAAAATGCATGTGATCCATTTGATGTTTATTACAAGCATACCAATACTTAATTCCTTTGTTTAGCTTTGTTCTGATAACACACACATGAAATCTTAAGAAGAATGCAAATAATAAGCTATAAAGTCATTCACTTTATGAGGGGAAAATTGTTGGAAGCATGGGGAGGACTTGGCCAATTCGAAAACAAATTTCTGAATGTCTTTTCTGAAAAAAACTTACTTACATGTAGTCAGTTGTTGAAAATGAAAATTAACACAATTCACATTATAGTGACAAAAAATATATATCACTCCCTCTCACATCTTTCAAACCCTTCTACAAATCTCCCATCCCTCCCCAAAAGGGGAAAAAAGGGCAACGGTAAATGTTGATAAATAAAGATGACCTGATAATCAAACAAGAAATGATTTGTGATGATATGATATGATATGAAAGAGAAACAGCATGAAAGTCAATCAAATTTAGTCAAATTAATTTTGATTTCATGCTTGACATACAACTGCTGTTGAGACAAGATAACACATATCCTATTCAATTGTTACATGTATTCTGTAGGTGCCAGCAGACAAAAACCTTATCGTCCCTTCTTCTCCATTACTGGTTGATATTATACATATATTGGAGCAGTCACCTAAATCAAACATCAGTGCTGTAAGTCTTTTTATTAACACCATTCACAATAAAATATAAATAAAACTGAACATTTATTTTAATATTTAATGATTATGTTTTACTTATTAATAACCTACCTAACTCATGTAACCCTAATCTATCACACTTTTCTGATTATAATCCCTCTCCGAGTATTAAGCCCACCCTTCTACTTTTAGATATTTAACAAGTTGAGGGCATCCTTGATTATAAGCCCAGGGTGTTTTTACCAGGCTTCGACAACATGCATATGACAATATGCGTGTAAAAAGTGTGTTTCATTGCATAAAAATCATGATTAGTATGTTAGTTTGGTTTGTTAAACCTGGTCATTGAAGATCGTTTTTCTTATCCAAGACTATCATGAATAGGGTGTGATCATGAAAGGTGTCTAAATATTTCCTCCACACTTGGGTTGCCTTTTAAAAATTGCAAATCACTAGTTTTTATGGAAAAAAATCACTGTTATTAGTCGAAATCAGTGCTAACAGATTGCAAAACACATAGTTTAGCTGGTTATGGTTGGTTTATCTCATGTAGTGATTATGGTGGTTTTGACAGTGGTTAATGTTTTTTTTTTGTCATACAGATGCAATCTCTCCTTGCACCATTAGCTTCAGCAAGAGAATTAATCAGTGATCCTACTAAAGTGAGTAGTAATATTCTTTATTTATTGTATATAATATATTATCATCTCAGTAACTATTAATTAGTCCCTGTCAGATGAATTTCAAAACAAGGACCTATGTTTTGTTTTTCGTTTGATTGACCTTTTACCAACTGGCGGCCAAAATACTCATTTAAACATACGGTACATGTATCTTGTTGTTTATGAATGGATTGCATTCAAACTTGGTATTATATTGACACTATGGGTTTCTGATGCACATCATTTTGTTTTTCAGATTGAATTCAAAATAGCTGACTTGTGGCCATTTTGTTTTACTGAATGTGGTTCTAGAGCATGCTCTGCCATGCTTTGACGGATTATGTTCAAATTTTATATATTCATTATACATGATGATGTATTGGTTTGCCGATCTGATTCAAAATGACAGACCAGTGACCATTTTGTTATAATTAATGCTGTTCAAGAGCAATACATGTATCTCTCAATATGAACACGTACTTGTACTATATTACTCTGTGCCATGCATGGCTTGTTTTTTTCACAATATTGTACTGTTTCTCAGATATTTTTACAGAATTGATTTCAATTTTGTACAAAAACATGACATAACGGGTTGAATGTTGTTTTTAGTTATTTTTAGATTTCGAGGAAATTTAGTTGACTGGCAGCCATTTTTGTCAAAAAAAACCACATACTTTGAACAGGTTATAAATTGTTTCTTAGGCAGGCTTCTACTGATTTCATTCAAACATGGTATCGACATCAACCATGATGGGTTTGTGATCTGATTCAAAATGTCAACTGGTGACCATGTTGGTGTTATTTTCCTGTATCCTTATTAAGACTGATGACTATTTTCATCCCTTGAAACACCAAACAAAAAATGTAATTTCTTAGGCATCCCTATGACAATTTCTTTTAAACTTGGTAAGAAAATCACACATGATGGGTTACTGATTCAAAATGTTCAACTGGTTTATTTATGGATTATACAATTTTGTACAATATGAGAATGATTTTATTCCTAGGAGCGAGTCACTTTGGCTGACTAAATTCTAGATAAGGTGCCATTTGAAGTAACACCATATTTTAACATGCTGAATACTTTCCCAACTTTTCTGTTAATCTCTGTCCATCTTTAATTGTGTATAATTGACACAGTCACTAAAAACTGAATAGGGACCATGTCATTGACAATCACTTGTTATAAGCTATTTATCATATACTAAATAACACATTACAATATGATAAACTTATTTGACCATTATGATATGTCCTGGAAGATAAACTATTTGCCCTACTGCAATCTAATTAACAGATAATGCATTGGCATCACATTATTATGCATTTATTTCTACACATAATTTGTCTTGACAGGGAATGACCGTCTATGCCAGACTGGAAGGAGTTCGATTGGAAGAATGTCTTTATTATCTTAAAACCTATGGTACACATATCAGATTGGTAGAATTCTATAAAAAACATGGATATTTAACAAAATCTGTAAACTACATAATAGAAATGGTTAGTATTATATCATTGATTTATATTTGTACTAAATTAAGTTTTGCAAAATTGAGATTTAGGTTTTAATTACCTGCCTCCTCATATTCAATATACTATTAAACTGTGAGCTTTCATTCTCTCCTCTCGAAAGTGTTTCATTGTTGTTGACATAGAAACAAGTCATCAACTTCTGGTTTATTTTACCCATTAGAAAACATGCAAAAATGGATTATTTTGGAACTATTTCTAAAGCAATTCATGTTAAAACCAATTCATGGAAAACCATGAAAGGCCCATCTTTATAACCACCCTTTACATGCGATGTACATGTACCCAAGCACAATTTTGAGATAAAATGAAATCTTTTTTATCATAGAAACTATTAATGGCTCAGATGTACATGTATATATTGTGGTTGGCTTAGTTGTGAATAATGGATAAACACAAAGGCAATGAAGTATATTGTTATGTTCATTTATTAAGGCAAGAAAGACAGCGGTGACAGTCAAGAACAAAATAATTAACAAACTTTAGATTATCATACTGTGATCTAGATGTGTGTGCATAATATTCTGTGCATATTTCACTATGTGGTGTACTGTATATTTACAGCATTGTTCAACAGAGGTGTTCATAGAAGGTCTTTTACTGCCATGTATGGAGAATGGTTCTTTAGCTGAATTACAACACGAAATGAAGATGTATGATCCAACATTAGAGAGATGGAAAAGTTATCTTAATGCATCATGTAGATATCTAAATAAAAGAAATTATATACATGTGTTGTACCAATTCCAGCTATTTATGCAGGTAAGTCATGCACAAAATGCTCCTGTGAAACAATTTGACCAATTTCTGAATTGTTCTCTTCCTTTTACAGTGCAAAGATATGTGATTTCATTTCTGTTGTATTTGGTGATTTTTTGAGGCAATCCCATGTGACTGATTATCAACAATTTTTTGTCTTGAAAACTGTTATATCAGCAATTAATATTCAGATGATTTCATTAAAAACATTTAATTCATATTCATCGTGACAACTAGAATGTTCTTGATCAATTAAAAAGTTTTTGACTCTAGTGTCTAAAGCACGCAGTTTATTCATTTTGCTTTTACAATTTTTCTTTAGTATTGTAAACTTCAATACTATAGATTTGATTGCTTTCACATTGTGCTTATCAAAGTTCAGATCTGTAATATTTGCTAGACTCCTTGTTTAAAAAGCTAATTTAAAATATTCCCTATTTCAGTTTATATGCCTCTAAATACCCTCAGCAGAGAGGATTAAATCAAACAATATTGAATCTACATTCATTTGGGAATGAAATGGCCTTTAGGCGTTACCATAGCACATTCTAAAATAAACAAGATGCCATGTTACAAATTCAACTTTTAGCATTGGTTTATTGTCGTAAACAAATCAAATATTTTGAATCATAATTTTTTTGTCAGTAATGACAAAGATCCCGAAGTTTATACTTCAAATTCACAAGGTTACAGAAAAAAAGGATTCAGAGTTTTGCTGTATGTGCCTGGGTCAACAAATATAGCATGATGTGGATCAATTATTGCTGGCACTAAAACAATAGGACGCCACAGATATAATAGTCGCTCATATGATAATAGAGGTTGCTACCAGGATACCTCAAAGCGAGTACAGCGAGAGTATCGACCGACACGCAGCGGAGGTCGATGCAATGGCGTTCTGTCTGAGTGCATACTTTGAGGTATTCTCATGATAAACTTATTATTATACATATTTTTCTTCCAAGGATACATCATGGGAATGCAGAAATGTTTGGAACAAAATCAAAATTACGACATGCTGTAACTTTATGACGCCACGATGACAGATGTATAATAATACTTCTTATTGTTTACTTTGTCCAGGATTACATTCGTGCTGCTATGACTTGTATACAGTTTTTCCAGACTGGTGCTACTAATTATTCAAGTTTATTTGATCGTTTAAACCACTTGAATAATGCAAAAACTCATTTGAAAGATGTATTAGATAACAGTAAATGGGTGATGATAAAGAAACCTGTGAAAAAGAGTGATTCCACTCCAGAATGGGCATCTTCTAGTGGTGAAACAGCAATTAGATTGGTCCTATCACCATCTGAACTGACAAAGTAAGATATTGTGCTGAAAACAACTTGATATTAATTTCTTAAATTAAGTTTGTTTTGTATTCTGTATTGTGCTGAATAATTTGTGGTCTGAAAAACATTCTACAGTAAATGGAATTAAATGATAATAACAGTGTAAGTCTTTGAATATACTACCTTACTTGTTGGTTGGTTTCTTGATCCTACAGACATATAAATACCTTGAGTCTTCAAATTGAAGTAACCAAGTACCTTCATCAGTGTATGTCCAGTAAAGGAGGAGCAAGTTGTCCAGTCACATCGCCAACAAAACAATTACCAACATTGTTTGGTAATAATAAAACTAAAGCTGAATTAGTCAGTTTGGTAGGTATTAATAAATTTATGATTTTCTGTCATTGATCTGTGTGAATTACACTTTTTAAATGATGCGATTGTGACTCATATGATGCAGTGTATCCACGCTGTGCTGCTTTGCATATAACAATACAGGTGCGGAATACACAGCATCACTCCTGAAATTAATTCCACAATTATCAACCTTAAACCTCAATATTTTCCTCAACCTCAACAGTTTTTATGGTCACACAACTAATAATTGCACTACCAGACAAGATCAACTTTCGCAGCCGCCACTTCTAACCTGTTCAGTTAACCAGCATATTTTAAATACTGTCATTTTCTGTTTGTTTTCAGATATTACTATCAGCGAGTAGTATATCTGAAGGGTTCAAAATTGCTTTCCGAATAATACAGGTAAATTGTATTTATGATGTTATTTCTTCCAGTGCCTATAATTATACCGCGGGTATAATAGTATTGTAATAATATAATAATTATGTGTTCACTTACATGTACTAGACAATTTGTTCTTAAAAAATGATGTTGTGTCATTCTTTCAAAGGATTTTCGACTTCCTGCAACGTTAGTGTATACACACACAGCCAAGCATCTTGCAAAGCAACATAGTTACAAAGAAATAAAACAACTTGTACAATGTATTCGAGAATCCGGTCTTTCTGATGATCAGACATGTGATGATATTATTTCCGCTTGTATTCGTGTTATTTCTGATGATACTAGCCAAAGCAAGGAAGCTGAGAATTTTATCAAGCTATTGAAAAGTGACTCCAGTAAGGTGAGGCTTACACTTTCAAATTCCTCAATATCCCAGCTCGTAACTTTGTAATAAGGATATGACCGGGTACATAAAAAATAACTACAAATTGCCACTTTTCCCCTTTCCAATTATGCCTTATTGTTGTAAGACTCATTACGTTAACATAAGTAAGCATAAAATTACTGAATATACAGTATTTTGCAAGAAATCCTTGACATAATTAAAAAAACACTCAAATACAAATGTATGTTAACTCCTTTTTAATCTACTTTCCCAATCCAAATAAACCCTGCATATAGAATGTTTATCTCTATGTGTGCTTGATCAATCACTGGATTTTAGTTGCTCATGTATTACAAAATTTGACATACTACCATAATTTGTTTGCTGAAAAATCACTGACATGTTTTTACATAGTTTTTTTTAGAAAAACTTAATACTCCTAAATACTTAGGGTTGGATCAATTAAGTGTTTTGACCATAGTTAATGTTAATCTGGATATTTCTACTGCCATCCAGTTGACCCCTGGAACTAAAAAATAATGGCATCAATCACTCACCAGGTGCATTGTGGGTAATGTCTGAACCAAGACTGAAAATTTTGAAGTTGCTAGTCAGTTAATGCTTTCATTTGTGTGCCAATAATTTAGTTGTTAAGAATCTGTGTAGCTGTGCCTGTTTCATTAACCAATTCAGTGGCAAAGTTTAGTAAGAAGTTTACTTACCTGTTTACATTGGTCAATTCTCAATTTCAAGATGGTTCCAGTGAAATCACCAAGACACTATGTCGATGTTCAAATTGTCAACACAATCTGTATAATGACAACCTACATCCTGTGTGTCATTCATGTGGTTGTGTGTGTGAGAGTTTCTCCTGTTGTGTAATTTGTGTTTTTGGGGTCTCCGACACATTGTCATTGTCGCAGAGCTAGTCTGCCATTATGCTCATCTGACTGCTCGATTAGAAAGAAGGTGCCGTAGTTAAATAAAGGGAGATCCTGGTGGAACAGCGAAGATTACCAATTACCCAAGTATGATTTTGGCTTTGAAATGCCTGCTCCCAGGTCTGTATCAGAGGACCATTATCAGTTATTCTGGCTTAAGAGGCCTTTATCCACCACATGAAAGTCATTACAAGTCAGTTCTAGCTAAGCTGATCCAGTTTACTACTGTTGGATCAACACATCGCCAGTCCAAATGGTAAATAAATAAATAAACAAATAAATAAATAAACAAACAAAAAACAAATAAACAAAAAACAAACAAACAAACAAACATACAAACAAACAAACAAACAAATAAATAAATAAAGAGACTGTACTTACGAGTGACCTTTCTGGAAGTTTATGTTTCTATAATGATATCTTTGTGTCCTGCGAAATCATCACATAAACAATTTAATCGTGATACATGTATATTAGAATGGACTCAGACAATTCAAATAAGCCACATTTATTTCTCAAGTTTCCATGCATCTCACATGGAATCGGTGCTGACTTTTCTGGGATTCATACAGTCGGCCACACATGTGGTAAACTCTCACCCTGTACTGGATGAGAGATGACAGCAAGTATAGTGATACATTTGTATAACTCTAACAAACAACACCCTGCGTTGAGGGAATGTATACCCCTGCACTAACCAAACTCATGACAACAATGTCCCCTCAAAGCAAAGGCGGCAAAGGCGATACAGGCTGAGGTATCAACCTACTAATCAAAGGAATCATATTCCCTTGTAACCGAGCCTGTATTTTTATGCGAACATGTTTCTAGTACCAACAATTCCAGTAGTAGATTTGTTTCCTATGAACCCCTCAGTCATCCTAGTCAAGTGGAGCAAGATGGTTACTGCATGCGCTATCAGGCAGTATTGCAAAACAATATTTTGTGGACATGAACCTCAAGGATGCATACCTACAAGTAACAATGCACCCAGCAAGCAAACCTCAGTTGAGGTTTGGAGTAGAAGGATGACATACCAGTCTTAAGTACTCTGCTCATCACCATACTAGTAGGTGTTTACAAGGATGTGCAAAGCAGTAACATTGTTGGGGTTTATAACCAATTTGGGCAGGTCGCATTAGGAATTTGACATGCTTTGGGATGGGTGTACTTCCTTCCAGGGTGGGCATAACCTTTATGTTTTTTCAGCCAATGACCACACTTTGAAAACTTCATTAGAAAAGGGTTGCATGATGTCTCTGGCTTCTCAGGCCTCATTACGCACCGCACAAATTCTGCAAGAGAGCCTAGTACCTAGACTTCTCATTCCGCCTACCAGTCAGGTGATGGGATGTGCTCGTTTGGTTGACCTTAGCTGATCACCTCATGCTCAGAATGCTGTTCATACAACCCTTTTCATACAGTGCCCATTTGACCGACATCTCAGAAGCTGACTTAGACACACATAATGGATCTCCACATCCAGGGTCTCTGGAACACTACTCAATTAGCCAACTGAAGGAGTTGAAGACAGCCCTCTGAATCTTCCTGCCCATATGAGAGGAGCATGTAATGACAACCCTGGAAAAGTTTGACAGAGGAATGAACACATTAGAATGGTTCACAACACCATAGCTGACACACTATCACAAATTCAGATACAAATTCATATAACTGCTCAATCTTTGGCTGGAACAGTCAATCAATCTCTCGGCCTGTCCACTCAACACCTGTGCTAAAAAAATCATCAAATATCAAGCATTTCTGGCATTTGCTATATACATTAGACATTATGGGTTCCTGATGCAGGTCATTTTATTTTTCAGATCAAATTTAAAATGGCAGACTGGTGGCCATTTAGTTTTTATGAATGCAGTTCTAGTGCCATACACAATGTATCTCTGCCATGCTTTGACTGATTATGTTCAAATTTTATATAATCATTATACATTATGTTATAGATATATAGATGTATTCAAAATGGCCGATTTTGTTCTAATTAATGCTCTTTTGACGATCAGGTACAAGATGTCAATCATTTTAATGTTAAAAAATCATAATTATATTCCTGACATGTTTATATTCCAACTATATTACTATAAACAAAACTGTATATCTTAAATTTGATAACTAACAGGGACTGTGCCATGCATGGCTTGTTATAACTGGACCAACCCCTCTAAAGTATTATATCTTATTTATTACAGATCAACAATTTTATTTTGTGTGGTAAACTGAAATCAGCGTATCTGATAGCAGTGAAGGCTGAACGAGTCGAAGATGTCCAGAGGATATCTAGTGCTGCCCAGAAAGCGGGTCAATCTGCTGTCAAGAATATATGTGATCGATGGTTGCAGTCACAGGATTTGAGGAGAAAACAAGAGATGGAACAACAGGAACTACTTTTGAGAGCAACGCGTCAGAAACAAAAATAATCAACTGATGTCTTATCCATTTGGAATAATGGAGAAAATGGCCTTGAATTTGAAACAATTTCACTGAAATGGTACTAAATGAACATGCTTGTTCTGGCCAGTGTACATTCTTTATAATTTATAGTTCTATTTTCTAGTGGAAGCCATTTTGTCATATTTAAAACTATTTACTATAAATCTCAGTCACTTGCTGACATTAGGCCATTTAACAAGCTTTTGCTCTTGTCACAAATTGTCAAACAAGTTTGATTGAAATGCTGGAGCTCTTAAATAAAGTTTTGTAATAAAAACATGCAGTTTTAATGATAATGTCTGTCATTACCTTAATATTAAAAAATGATAACCATATGTCCAGAAGCATCAGTCACAAGTCACTATTTTGTTGAATATCTAACATACAGATTATTTTTACTATATATATATAAATAGTAATTCATACTTTATTAGCTCCTGTGCAAAGTACAAATAGACCCGTCCATTTGTCTGTCCAACCGTATGTCTGTCCAACCGTCAAATATTGTTCCACCTTTATCCCAAGAGCCACTGACTAAGTTTGACACACATCCACTATTCAATGAACACTAGACTTAATTAGATTTTAGTATTAATCATGTTAATTTGCATGATTATCAATTTTAGGATTTTCATTGTTTATCTTTGCATCTGCTTACACAAATGCTTTGAAACTTGGTACATGATTGATGTTTGTGTTGATCATTACATGATAACTGCTTTTAATAAATCTGTGCATATTGATTAAATAATTTGCATACTAGATAACTGATTTCAGCTTGTTTACTTTGGATCATAACAGAGTTAATGCTTGTTTCTGGTTTGTCTATCAATTTTATTTAGCTATTTTAAATAATAATTAACTGTTTTCACTATATTTTGCTAGTATCCTAACTGCTTACTCAAATTGATCGAAACTTTAGTACTTGCATACTTTTGATTTTATTGAAATTAAGCTGTGTATTAATTAGCGTATTGAATATTTTCTGTTTTTTTATGCTGTATTGAACATCCAACCCTATTTTTTAATCAATATATTCACATTAATAATCTGATTCGCTTATTCACTCACTAATTACCTGTTTTCAACACACATTTTTATCAAGTGGATTGACAGGGTAAACCTAGAAAAGTAAATCGGGAGCCTTGCCATCTGCTGGCATTTGAAAAACTCAAAAATATCTTAAGCTGATTTTGAGTGAACTTTCGTGTTGCGAACAGATGCCTCTGAAAACAGTCTTGAGGTGGTCTGCTTGCTATATTACCATGATGTTGCATTCCCAGTGGCATAGGCTAGCCAGACGGTTAGCCATGCATAGTCACATTATGCAGTAATTAGAAAGGAGTGAGTTTGGGGAATAAAAAATATTCTAGGCCTATTTATACCTCCATTAACTTTGTATTGAGACCAATCACAAGCCTCTAGTCCATATGAAAACTGCCAAACTTCCCATTAGTCGAATTATGCAATGTGCTATATACCTGTAATCGTTTTCCTATTGAATAACCAGCATATAAGGGTAGCCATAATCTAGGGGCAGATTATTTAAGTAGAAATGAGGTTCAAAATAACAACTAACCAATATATGATTATAAAAGATATGTAATAATAATTTATTCAGTATGCACCCCCTAGGCCTTCGGCCCTTTGTGCTAAAGGAAATTACAACAATTTAGTGACCTTAAATATAAATACATAAATGTATCTGTATAAAAAGTATTATTCTCTGATGTATTCTCTCTGTTTGAAAGCAAAAAATAAAATTTCTCACAGTGTCCACACTGGATGAGGACATAAGCTGAACAAACTTCTCTATATTTGGGTTAATAAAATATTGTCTAGGAATATACTTTTCCCTCAAAGTACATATCAAAAGAAAATGATACTCGTTTTCTATGTTGTCATGACAACTGTGGCATAACCTATTTTCCCGTGGAAGATTTAAACGTCTTTCCTGTTCAATATTTAGAGTGTGGCTGGACACACGAAAAAAGTTAGTGCACATTTAGCCCCATATGTCTCCACCATAGCTAAGAATGGGCAGTGTTTTGGAGTCAACAATTTTTGAACAGGGACGTCTCCGTGGGCTTTTAGTTTGGCAATAACTGTGAACATTGCTTTCTTGGCTTGTTCTGCAAGAACTGACTGGGCTTTTTAACGGGATTGCCTTTATAGTGCCACTTTTTGTAGCTGAGCAGTGTTTCCCCCCTTTCTAAACACCATTATATTTGTCTTTTTCAAAATTAACTTTGAGTTTGTACTTTGCACAATAAGTTTCTAATTGATTTAATACTCTTTGTAGTTTAACAGTAGTCTGCTGTCAAAACTAAATCGTCTGCAAAAAAAAAGGTATTTCTAATTGCCCAACAGAACAACCGCTATATAGAGGATAATATTTTAAACATTTTTCCCCGAAGACTCGCAATTCCCAATTTATAAAGCATGGCTGTTCTATCCACACGTTCGAATGCGTTTTCAAAGTCGATAAATGCGCAGTACAACCTACCTCCCTGTTTACTCCGATATTTTTGGATAAGAGTATGTATGAAAAAAATATTATCAACAGTAGTGTATCCAGTCATAAACCCAGCTTGTTCCTCTCTAAGTGGGGCACAATTGTCTTCCCAGAAGAGCAACCTGTATAAAATTCTAGTAAAGATCTTACTGATGGGCAGTAATGTGATTGTAATTGTTTGGTTCATTTTGTTTACCCTTTTTAAAAATAGGGAAAATAATCCCATCAGACCAGGACACAGGAAATATGCTTGTGTTAAAAATTACATTGAAAAGTTGACATAGCAAGGAAATAAATAAATGGCCACATATCTTATAAAATTCTGGCGGTATCCCATCAATACCGGGGGATTTATTGTTTTTCAGGCAATTAATACTAGCAATAACTTCATCTTCTGTGATTGGCTGGTCCAATACCTCTATGATAATATCCTCATTATAAATACCCAAGGCCCCCCTGAATTTCATTCCAGAAATCCTCAAATTGGCTACGATCTAATAATCCTGGTTTTTAATTCCTTTAAATTGAGGGTCTCTCCTATTTTTAAAAAAAGACAAACACTTTCTGGAGTCGATTTCCTTTAAAGCTTGTCCAATTTCTTGTAGAATTTTAGTTTTCAAATTAGCTTTCTTCTCGCGTAAGAGATTGCGATATTCCTTAAATGCATGCATTATCATGAAATGGAAATTTAGGCTTCGCAACTTTATAAAACAGTTCATTAGTTTTTTGTACCAAAATATCACTATCACCTTCCAATAAACTATCTAAAAAATCGTAAACTGCATCTTGCAGCATGTAATATATAGTAATGGATGGTAATAGATTTTCTTTGACTTGTTGATATTTCTTGCTGCAGTTTTCCTGACTCATGACAATACTGTTGATGTACCCATTTTTCATGGTGTGATTACATCTTAGTGTGGGGATATGTCGTGAGGCATCTATATCGTATTGCAAGAAACGAAATTACTTTTTGAAAACAAAAATATGTTATTATTTACTAATTAATTATCATAGTATAAACTGAAAATGGCCCGTAATCAGAAATAAGTTTCATAGCCAACAGTTAGGTTCATTTGACGCTACACAAACAGGTATTTGAATGTAGTTTGTGTTATGTGCCCCAGATGTTCCGCCTTGTCTTCTCTGGATGGGTGATGAATGAACAGGTGTCTTGGGCCAAAATCAAGTTGAATGACTGAGAGGATGCAGGCGCAACGTGGCAGTGGAATATAGATTATCCCAGTCTGTAGTAATCTAAATGTGGGGCTGTAAATGAAGTTGCTAATTTAAGAACTCAGGTTGTTTATTATCTGCTCAATACTATCACTAACTGTTTTCAGCATCATGTCAGCCTGCTACATGAATTTGGTTAGCTTTAAACTGTCAATCGAGGCTTGTTTACCAAGGATTTTATCAGGGGTAGAGACAAATGCAATGCTGTTTCCTTGGTCTCTTCTCAGCATGATTGATCGTCTAAATAGTTCATGATTAATTTGTTGCTGCCAAGATTTAATCTGTAAACTAAATTCTGATTTAACATAAAGTTGTGTAGGGTATTTGTGTACAAAGTACAAACAAATTTACATTCTATGCCCACCTGTGACTCGGTCAATAAAAATTGTTGGTGATTAATTTAAGATTAATATAATATTTTCACTTCCCCACTGAACATACTTGAATGTCTGTCAATATTGCTGTAATCTGTATCTTGGGACCACATGTTTTATTCTATACACTTCTCAATATATAATTACCATGTGAAATACCACAGACTGTAGGGACTGCTACTATTTACAAATATCTCCCAGGTTAGCTTCCTAACATTCAATTAAATTTCTAGGCAGAAGGGTAGACTGGTGAAATTACGGCCCTCGCTTGAAATGTATTTAGCATTTCGTTAAAACGTCTACGGCGTTTGAAAATAAGTGACTCTTTATTAGGCCCGAGAACTGTCGACAGTCTAGGTTAACTCTATAAAGGTTCACAGTCGCCGTTGGTTCTTGAATTATGTCAAACGCCGATGCTAGCCCTATGCTAATTTCGATGCCAATAAGAGGCCAACTTCACGCTGTTTTTCAAGGCATGAAATAAACGCATGGAATCCTGGGAAGGAGTCTCGAAGTGAGAGAGCCACGAAACCTTCTTTTAAACCAGAGTACCGTGTATTTTCTTACAAGCTTGAGGGCCACATAACCTCCTTACAAATCGTAGTACTCGTGTGTTTTTACAAATTTTAACTGAAAGCGTGCGTTTTTATTATTATAGTAATAACAAATTCCCACACACCACGAATGTTCACTTTTGAGATATAATTGTTGGTATGTGTTGGTTCTTGGATATTTCATCTTCGTCGTCCTGTACTTCATTTAGTAATTCAAACTTCCCAGATTGCGTAAAAACGGTGAATTTCGCGATTTCGACATCGATAATGCCTTGGCTTAATTTTTTGCTAAGGAACGGTCGCTTATATAGG